ATATATATATATATATATATATATATATATATATATATATATATATATATATATATATATATATATATATATATATATATATATATATATATATATATATATATATATATATATATATATATATATATATATATATACATATATATATATGTATATATATACACACACACACAGTTGAAGTCAGAATTATTAGCCCCTGTTTATTTTTCCCAAATTTCTTTTTAACCCTTTGATTCACTACATGAGTCTAAAGTGACTCGTCTAAGTTTATTTTTTCTATATCTATTTTATAGCTTGTGCATCAAAGGGTTAATGGAGAGAAGATTTTTTCAACACATTTCTAAACATAATCTTTTAATTACTCATCTCTAATAACTGATTTAACAAAACAATTTAATTTGAAACCCCTAATATATTTTTAAAATGTATTTCTATTTTTACTTTTTTTATTTGATTTTTATTTAATTATTTAGTTTCAATTTTTATTTGCTTGTGTTTTTATTTTATTTATTTAGTTTCAATTTTTATTTGCTTTTGTTTTTATTTTATTTATTTATTTAGTTAATTTTTATTTGCTTGTGTATTTATTTTATTTATTTATTTAATTTTTATTTTTATTTGCTTGTGTATTTATTTAATTATTTAATTAAAATTTTTATTAGCTTGAATATTTGTTTATTTTTATTTATTTATTTTAAATTTTTATTTGATTGTGTATTCATTAATGTTTATTCATTTTATGTATTTTTTTAAAACTGAAATTCAGGTAAAATGTACGATAAAGGTTTATTTATGCTTCTGCGTCAAATGTATACTTATGCTTCGGCGCAGCCTTCAGGCTGTCGCAGACCAATCGCCGTGGCTCACGTCGACGCTGACGCATTCCTTCCATAAACATGTAACTACACATTGTAACAACGCGTATCACAAGCTCTGTGTTTGGTCGACTTGGTGTCAGTGTTGCATGGTGCATGAGTGGTGAGTGTCCAGTCCAGTGAAGGAGCTCCATATAAGAGTTTTTTGTTTTGTGTTTACCTTATGGTTTATGTTGTTACATGTCCGCCGGTTCTTGTCTCTGAATGAGCGAGTTTTAGTTACTTTAACATTTAATGTAGCATTCGGAATAAACAAAACACCCACGAAGAAATTCAACACAGAGGAACATAAAAGCCTACTGCCAGCTAGTGTTACAAAGGTGTTACTGCAGAGCAACACAAACAGCATGCAGAAGTATAAATGCACGACTACGCGCAAGGCAGGCGTCGTGGGTATTGCTTATCACTCGACGCAGAAGTATAAATCAGCCTCTAGTCCTTATATACTACAGTACTTAAACACATTTTTCTAATATATTTATTTGCAAACAACATGCATGAATACATTATGCAAAAAAGAGATAATTATTTAAAACACAATAGATGCTCTCTATTTTTAACATAAGTAATAGGAGCCCTTTTTGCTTTGAAAAGTTTTCCAGAAGACTCTCCAATATTCCACAAAAGCTTTCATCCTGTGTCTCTCTCTGAAATATGAGATCAATAAACAGGCCCAGATGAAACAGGTCAGGGCCGGTATTTCTCACATCTGAAAGCATCCAGTGATTTAATAGCTTGTCACTGACACTTGATCTACTGTCTAAAGTTTTCTGGATTCTCTGCATCTTTGCGGCAGTAAGTAAACGTGTGTCAGAACTAGGGTTGTAACGGTATGAATTTTTTACGGTATGATAATCGTCTAAAACAATACTACGGTTTGACGGTTTCGCGGTATACGGTATGTTACAAATGTTACAAAATAATAGAACAGTGAAGCAAATTTGACTTTTTCCAAATAATATATTTTTAGTTACTATAAACAACACCACTTACAATGAACAAATAAAAAAATAAGAAAATAATAAATAATGTGTCAAAGTCCAAATAAACATGGTGCAAATCCTCAGTAAAAATAGATATAAATATTTACTATACTATAAATAGTTACATAACGAAACTAGATTCAATATGGAACATCCTTAGGTTTTATGTGCCAGCATGGATATGGTTGTCTGTGGATATGGATTTGGATATGGTTGTCTGCAATGCAGACAAACAGCTGCACCTTCATTTGCGTCTTTTGAAAACAGCAAGAGCAGCAGTTCGTCTTTGCTGTGTCACTGTTTTGTCATGTTTCTGTGCTGCTGTGCATGCAAAAGTACTTAGTATGAGAATTATTTCATGCAAAACTTTTTTTTTGCGTTTTATTTAGCCGCGCATAAATGTATGCCTATCTCTCATTCCGTGTTGTTCAAAACGCTCGTTTTTGGTCCACAAACAAAAGCGAAACCTATGCTTATTGGTTGTGATATAGCGAGTTTGAACCAATCTGGGCATGGAGGAGGGACAATGCATCAATGTATCATGTCTGGTTTGTCCGGAGACACAGTGACGAGCGTTTCTTTGTCAAATCAGCGTTGTCAAATTTTGATGACGTAACCGCACTGATTCCGGAGCCTCTGAAAGTCCGCGAATGTTATGTGATACAGCACTGGAGAGCTGAGATTCTCTTCTTTATGCCAATCTTTGAATTGTATGAATCGGATCAGCGGATCAAAAGTTATTAAACATTTAAGAGCAATACTTATTTTTAGCCGCGGGCGGCTGTCTCGGTCTTTAAGGGTTAAAACCGTTGATATGCAATTGTTCATGGTATGATAATCGTGCACGTTCAAATCGTGGTAGACCGTCATACCGGTATATTGTTACAACCCTAGTCAGAACCCACTCATTACTGTGCTGCTACTAAAGACACTCCGTTATGACCCGGTGACGCATAAGTGGATGAAATAAACCATCTGACCGCAGTAAAGAGTCACTGGAGGATTGCAAAACGGTTCTTACCATCTCCACAAACTGTTAAAACTGCTTTTACTATGGGCCTGTTGAATGCTTGATTCGAATTGGCTGATGAGCATTTTGAGGTGGCTGTTTTTTTTTTTTTTCAGATTAATGCACAGCTAAAGTAGTCCCGGCAGGTTTTGAGAGCATTACAGCTCCATATAACTACGCTGAGTTCTTTCTATAGAGCCAGGTCATTCTCAAAATAATTAGAAAAACAAATGAAAACTGATTCACCAATAAACTGATTTCACGCGGCCGCCATTTTAAACCGAAATCGAGGCTGCGGTGGGAGGGAACCCGGAAGCATCGACTGAGTCACACAGGAATGTTGTGTTCCTGCCTGTACATCTTATCAGCAGTAGAAAGTGACACAAATTTATACTTTTACCACCTTCTGAGTGTTCCGAATAGTGAAAGTAATAGGGGTGTCAAAATTAATTGTTTCTTCGGTGCACCGCCATGCAGACGCGGACAATTCGGTATCGATTCAGTAATAACCATAACTGGTTATTATGTAGTGATGTCATTTATCTACTACGCGCTCTGTCGCGAGGGAGGTGAGCGCCGGTATTTACAACACTCAGCCAACTCAGGGCCGGCCCGTGGCATAGGCACCATAGGCAAATGCTTAGGGCGCTGTATATCCAGTGGGGCGCCAGAAATTAGCGCGCTTCAGTTGGTTTTGTTTTCGATTTTCCTGACACTTTCAGTTATAGACGACAATAACTCAAAAAAAGCTTACCCTTAAAAGATCTAAAGTGTGTTTCCTACAGAAAGACAAAGCTGGTTATGTTTCACAGCTGTCTTTCTATTTTTCGCTCGACATTACGAGCACTGCTCCGTTTAAGCCCTCGCAGTCTGCGTTTACTTTAGCCGGCAGAGCTCGCGCTGAGAGGAACTCTCAGTAAGGGGCCGTCGGAAAAGTGCTTATTTTTTTTCGTTTTTTTCGTTTTTCTGCTCCGCTCAGCGCGAGCTCTCCCTGTTGCAAGGGCTTAAGTGTGTTTGTTTGTTTGTGTGTGTGCGTGTGGGTGTTTGTTTGTTTGATGCTGTCTATGTTTGTGAATGTGTTTGAATATGAGACAGTGTGTTGCTGTGTGTCTGTATGTTTATACAGACAGCATGTTATAGCCTCCCCCCTAAAATATAACACTATATATGGGAAGCATCGTCAGTGCACCGAGATATCGAATTGAACCGAATTGATGGCATGATAATCGTAACCGAACCGTGAGACCAGTATAGGTTCACACCTCTAGAAAGTAAAAAGGGAAATTGGACCTCGTTTTCAGCTAAGGGAAATGGCACTAGTTAACCAACGTTTTCTTTTTCAAACAAACATTTTTGATGCCATTTATCAAACTCGAGTTAATTAAACTGATTCTTTCACTATATTAGACTTGTCACGATACTAAATTTCGGTACTGAAAAAAAAATGTAAAAAAAAAAAACGTCCATTCCCCGTTAACATTTAAGGCACTGTTGCTGGCATTCTTAGCGGCCGATCACACCGAACACGCTTTATGCGTTGAGAGGAGCCCCTTTCGAATGGTTTACTAACGGCTGTGAGTGTTTTGCGCGCTGCTTATGCTCCCTGCGCGCCTCGTGTTTTAACTACCTGCTGCACCTCGCGTTTTTGCCGTTGCACGTCATGCGCACTCAGTTGAAATAGTCAACTCTGAGCGGAAAAAGCGCGTTACGTCACTTGCGTCTGTTTTATTCTTCAATCACATGAAAGCAGAGGCTGGATTTCCATTGAGGTGCCTGCAGCGTTTATGTTGTCAAGACAACAAGGGAGACTTTTGAAGATGGAGGAGAGACTAGTGGTTGCTCTTCTAAGTTATCCAGAGCTGTATGACTTCAAAAATCTTGAATATCACAACATTGTTACTTATTAAAATTATATTAATATCAACAGCAATACTCTCAAACAAATACACAGCTGATTCAGTCGTTGTCTAGCTACATAAAAAAGCAAACTGCGCTCCTTTTTGTCTCGTAAACAAAAAGGCAGTAATGTGCGCCTCACATTTTTGAAACGCAAATGCGCGTATGGTGTGATCGGCCCCTTAAACAGTGCTGATTTGAAATTTTGTTCATGTGCTCAACAGAAATGACTGTGATTGGCCGTGAAGGTCATCAGTTCATCACACTTCACCGATGTTTACCGAGCACAAACACAGACGAGCGATCCGCTGATAAATCGACTGATCTTCATGCCTGCTTCGCGCTCCAATGTCTGTGTATCTGTGTTTGCACTCGGTGAAGAGCGGTGAGCTGATGACCGTCACGGCCAATCACAGTCATTTCTGTTGAGCACTGGTGAATACTATGGCTAATCAGCGACGTTTATGAGCGCGCTCAGCGGCGCTTAAATGTTAGCGGGAATTGGACGT